AGCTTTGAGATTTTGTTTCTTCACTGTATTCCTCATGCTTTTCTTGCTATTGTTTAGTTGCTAAGTCGCGTCCAATTCTTTGTGACCCCATAGACTGTAGCCCACCAGGCTCCTCTGTCCATGGGATTTCCCAGGCAAGAATATTGAAGTGGGTTGTCATTACCTTCTCCATGGGACCTTTCTGACCCAGGGATAAAACCTGTGTCTCCTGCATTGGCAGGCAGGTTCTTTACCACTGCACCACCAGGGGCTTATTTGCTAAATAATAAAGAAACTCATCCAGCTTTTTTGAAACAAAAATGACAGGAAATGTTCATGAGCTAGATTTTGGAAAAGAACCAATAACTAAACTAGGCAGTGGGACTTGAAGAAATTGATTCTGAGCTGCACAGGCTGCAGGCCACACCAACCATCTGAAACTGAAGATACCACCTGGCTTCTGAGGAAATTATGGGTAGCAGGTAGTTCTGGGAGATTTTAAAGCACATGTTATCCTAACGTCTATCAAGTTGGTGACAACAGTAGTTGAATATTTTCCTTTCATAGTAAACAAAGGTTTTAAGACACTAGAAAATGGATAGAAGGACAAAATATTTCTCCTATAAATAGACAATAGATAGGTTGGGGGTCAAGAATAAAATAAAATAAAAAGTGAGGGACCTGGTGATTTTTGAAAATTGGCTGTCAAAGTATTCTGGCTCTGCAGAAAGTGAAAGCAAAAAAGAATTCACTCATCTGGCTCCCACTACTTTTCTAGACAAATAGCACACAACATTAATTCACTTTACATAAAGACAAATGAAAACAGTCCTGCAATGCATCACAACCAGAAAATATTTAAGATGATGCTGCTGAGCAATGAAACTTCTAGGAAAAGTTATATTCTGGTACCTAGCCTCAGAGTAGCATTTATATGCTAACGACTGGAACAAGTAGGGACTAATGGAGAGAAGAATTTTGTGGAAGAAGGATTCATGGTTCTTTTGCCTCTGCTCCATCTTCCTTTAAGGAAAACAAACTCTTGCCCCTTTAGGATAAGATTCCTTGAAGGGTAAAAGAGAATAATAATAATGCAAACTATTGAGACTTGGCTTCTCTCTAAAATAGTATCACTGACACCTCCCAGTACAGTTTAACACGAAGTACCATGCAAGCTTCAAGAATCATCTGCCAACATCCTCTCTAAAATTCTAGACCTCTAGAAGCAACAGTGCCATCACTTTGGAATGAAGTTTCCCAGGTAATTAATTCTTGGAGTTTTATAGCATTTGTTGGCACATAGCCACTACAGACTTGCTCCAAATTATCAGTTATTTGGAAAATCAACCCAAGAATTTAGTCTTTGACTTTCAAAAAGAATGGTTGAATCAAAACATTTGCTTTCTCTGTGCCATTGTATAATAAAGAGTTTTGGCCCCAAATTTCAGGTTCGTAGACTTTGTAAAATGGAGATCATGTTATAGGCATGAAATTGAGACAAACAGCTTGTTCGCGTGCCAGTGTCCAATATATCCTGCCTACAAAAGCCTCTAAAATACTGACAAAACACGAAACTTGAAGGGAAAAAACCCTCCTGCTGACTCATTCTTCACAGAGAAACATTTATTATTTCCTAGGGCAGTATGCTCAATTTCCACTTCTATTGCTGTAATTTCAACTTGTGAATTTTGGAAGGGGCTGAGGGAAGGGAAGCAGAAGAGATCAAAATCCTAGGAAAGATGCATTGCTTTTAAGGGGACTGTAATGAGAACTGCAGAAAAGTTATTGATCCATGCCCTTTTCCTTTTATTTCCAGTATATATTATAGTTGCGCTGTTTCCCCATGAAAGTTCAGTGTTTTCATCCAGGGACTTGCAGCAACAGGGTAAATAGCAAATCAGTATTCTGGAGGGTTCATTAGTAAGGAGGTAAAAGGCCTTCAGGAAAATCCAGGCTAAGGGCAAAGAAAAAAGACAAGCACAGTTCAATCTGGAACCATTCCCAGCTTCTCTGGACCACAGCGTGAAAGATCAATGAACATGAAAGTTGACAAAGGAACCAAAAATAAACAAACTTATGTATTCATACACAACGAATGCATGGAATGGTACTGACTGGCACTACTCTAACAAACTCTAACCATATATCCTCATCAAACAAGACCTAGCCTGTAAGACAGGTATTAATGGATTGGCCAAAAAGTTCACTTGGATTTTCCCATAACATCTTATGAAACAACGAAAGAACTTTTTGACCAACCCAGCATTTTCCTCAGTTACAGAACTGAAATTCAAAGTCAAGTCTGCTCAACTCCAAAATCCATGCTTTTCCAAACATGTGCTTTGACATACTCCATGGCAGAAGAGGGGTAGAAAATGCTTTCTTTACCAATCGCACTTTAGAATGAAGCTTACAAGAGAATTAATTTTTGAAGTTCCAAATTGGGAAAGGAGTACGTCAAGGCTGTATATTGTCACCCTGCTTATTTAACTTATATGCAGAGTACATCATGAGAAACGCTGTGCTGGATGACGCACAAGCTGGAATCAAGACTGCCAGAAGAAATATCAATAACCTCAGATATGTAGATGACAACACACTTTCATAGAAAGTGAAGAACTAAAGAGTCTTTTGATGAAAGTGAAAGAGCAGAATGAAAAACTTAGCTTAAAACTCAACATTCAGAAAACTAAGGTCATGGCATCTGGTACCATCACTTTATGGCAAATAGATGGGGAAACAGTGGCAGATTTTATTTTCTTGGGCTCCAAAATCACTGCAGATGGTGACTGCAGCCATGAAATTAAAAGACGCTTGCTCCTTGGAAGAAAAGTTATGACCAACCTAGACAGCATATTAAAAAGCACAGACACACTTTGCCAAAAAGTATGTGTAATCAAAGCTATGATTTTTCCAGTAGTCATGTGTGGATGTGAGAGTTGGACTATAAAGAAAGCTGAGCACCGAATAATTGATGCTTTTGAACTGTGGTGTTAGAGAAGACTCTTGAGAGTCCCGTGGACTGCAAGGAGATCCAACCAGTCCATCCTAAAGGAAATCAGTCCTGAATATTCACTGGAAGGACTGATGCTGAAGCTGAAACTCCAATAGTTTGGGCACCTGATGCGAAGAACTGATTCACTGGAAAAGACCCTGATACTGGGAAAGACTGAAGGCAGGAGGAGAAGGGGAAGACAGAGGATGATATGGTTGGATGGCATCACCACCTCAATAAACCTGAGTTTGAGCAAGCTCTGAGAGTTGGTGAAGGACAAGGAAGCCTGGCAAGCTGCAGTCCATGGGGTTGCAAAGAATCGGACATGACTGAGCAACCGAACTGAAATGAATGTGTAATTAAAATCAGTGTTATTTAGAAAATCCAAAGAATATAAAAAACCTAAGTAGAATACATCAATTTCTTCAAAAATTTAAAGTACATCTGGGGGACTCCACACTAAGTAAGCTATTATTTCTCTTTAAATTTGCTTATCTTCTTTCTAAAAAAGTTTTTAAAGTCCAAAGTACAGAGAGTAGAACTGCCTTCACAACACGCTAGCCTGATTATGATAGTGCCTGGAACACACAGTCCAGCACCTCCCAGGAACTCATGTTATTTGAGCAACTCAGAAGAAATGCCTACTTTGCCCTCTGTTCTCAGATAAAACAGTAGTTTCCATTGGCCTTTCCCCCTCTGAAGGCAAATTCTTGCCTCGCCCATATCTGGTGCCCATGGAAGGCTGAGGAATAGAAAAGAGAAGCAGGAGGGACAGAGACCCACGTAGAGTGAATCTTGGATTTTCTAGGAAAGCCTCAATTTGAGAAATATTTTCCCATCATCAGATGACACTAGAGTATTAAGCTTTAAGCCCACTGTATGACAGTCAAGAGAGTCAGAATCAGAGGATGATTTCGGTTTTCCCCCATGACACAAGAATTATGAAATCCAAACTTTATTAGTTATTCTAACTACATAAAGGAATTCCTGAGACTGATTTGCCTATTGGCAAATATAGTACGACCACACATTGAAGGAGAAAGCACAGGACAGAGGAAAGACCAAGGACTTGCACTCAACTCCAAGACTAGCCACTTGTTCTGGGACCTTGAGCTAATTTCTTCATCTCTGAACCCCCAGTTTCCTTAACTGTAAAATGTGGATACTAAGTAAGTAGCTCAAAAAGTTGTAATGAAAATTAAATAAGGCAATACATAAATTGCCCTGAATACAGTTTAGTGCTTAAGAAATATTCAATAACTACTACTTTCTTACATTTGAGTATGGACAACTCAACTACATCCAATACCAGCTGAGCTATGCTCATTCAAGCTGTTTTCACCAATCTGAGGTTGTATGGTCCACAGCATCCAAAGTTCAAGAGATAACATCAACTTGGTACATATATACAATGGAGTATTACTCATCCATAAGAATGAAATAATGCTATTTGCAGCAACATGGACAGACCTAGAGAGAGTCATATTGAGTGAAGTAAGTCAGATGGGGAAATATCTTTTGACATCCCTTATATGTGGAATCTAAAAAGAAATGATACAAATGAATTTACTTATAAAACAGAAACAGACTCACAGACTTTGAGAAGGAGCATCTGGTTGCCAGAGGGGGAAAGGCTGGGGGAAGGGATAGTTAGGGTGTGTGGGATGGAGACATGTACACACTGCTATATTTAAAATGAATAACCAACAAGGACCTACTGTATCACACAGGGAACTCTGCTCAATGTTATGCGGCAGCCTAGATGGAAGTGGGGCTTGGGGGAGAGTGGATACATGTATTAATATAAGTATGGCTGAGTCCCTTTGTTGTTCACCTGAAATGACCACAATGTTATTTGTTAATTAGGTATACTCCCCAGTACAAGATAAAGTTTTTGAGGAAAAAAAAGAAATAACATCAACAAAGAGTCGAACATGACTTAGTGACTAAACAACAAAGATACATATAATACTTACCACTCCCTACCCTTCAAAAGGTATAGTAAATACAATTAGCAAAAACCTACCTTGGTTGGTTCTCAGCCGTGAGGTTCTCTCCCCTCTGATAATCACTGTCGGCCACCTGGGTTGTAGACCTCTTCACAATTTGCTTAAGTTCCTGCTCCAAGCGTTCTGTGATTGCCTTCACTGTCTCTGGGATCTTCTTCAGTTTAGCCAGCCCCTTGATGAGGATGCCCATAAAGAGGGTGCTGTTCTCCTCTGGATCCAACTCCAAATCCTCCTTGATGTCCTGGAGGTTTAAATCCTTCACTGCTATAAAAAAAAAAAAGAAAGAAAGAAAAGAAAAATCAATCAGTAGCCACAGACTGCATAACCACATCCAAAAGTAGCATGGGTCTGAATAGATACATGTATACGTAGGGTTGAGTCCCTTTTGTTGTTCACCTGAAACTACCAAAACTGTTAGCTGACTCTACCCCAATACAAAATAGAAAGTTTAAAAAAAAAACCCAGTATGGATCTAAAAATTGGGACCACTCCCTTAAAAGGAATCATAGATGCTTTTCAATTAAATCTAATTAAATTATACTTACACAGTAACTCTCAAAGAATCACGAAAAAAAAAATTATGTTCCTCAAATTATACCCAAACCATCAGTTAATAAGGGGTAGAAACATTAAAAGTAAGCAAAACTTCACGGAAAATTTCCTACACTTCTGCAATGAGTCAGTTGGTTTGTGACATTTATCAACATTCACTGTTTATAAAATGCCATACTTGATGCTGCAGAATTCCAAAGAGCCACACTGTAGTCTTAAATTCATATTTATTAATTAGGAGCGATAAGTAGCTTGATAAAAAGACAAATACATGTGGAAAAGAAAAGACACGTAAGTTAGAAGTATAACAGAGTAAGAGATGAAGAAAAAGAAAGGAAAGCAGTATGTACAAGTGAAACAACTGTGAAGAATAGAAGAATATTCCCTAAATACAAAAAAAAAAAAAACTTACTATTTTTCTTTAAATACATGTCTAACATAATATCATTACCTACTAAAGACAGGTCTTGCCAATCCATGGAAGTTTTCTGAGTAGTAGATCTTTAGACGACAGCTTTCATCTAAACTGTAAGGTTTGGGGATGAAAGAAATAGCTTCTAACACTGGCTTTTAACCCCTGTGGGAGTGGAAAGACGGCAGGGCTGGGATCTGAGACGTCTGTCATCTACTGAAAACCATAGGCCTTTCCCTCAAACTAACAAACATACAAGTAATACTTCTCATATAATTTCAGGAGTTTCCACAACTAACCAGAAGAACTACAGATTAAAAACCTCTCACCTAAAAATAATTTTCTTATTTTACGAATGGTGGACTACAATAGACAAAAGCAAAAGTGAGTAAAAGCCTAAGGATGGACCCTAATCAAGTTGTTCCCATCCTCCCCTCTCTCCACTCTTCTAAACACCTCAAAGGCTTTTAAAATGTGATCCCTTCAAGACTTCCCTGGTGGTCCGGTGATTGAGAACCCACCTGCAAATGCAGGGGACACGAGTCCGATCCTTGGTCCAGGAAGCTCCCATATGCCGCAGGGAAACTAAGCCTGAGTGCCACAATTGCTGAAGCCCACACTGCAAAATCTTTAGAGACTTTTGAATTTTTTTAAAATGTGGCTCCTGAAAGACTGTGTACATTCTTCTTTAGTAGATTCAAGCTCAACTATACTACAGACCCAATCAAAGTTCTTCAGCACCACTGGAGTATTTTTTGTTTTGGGGGGGTTTTTTTCCATTTATTTTTATTAGTTGGAGGCTAATTACTTTACAATATTGTAGTGGTTTTTGTCATACATTGACATGAATCAGCCATGGACTTACACATGTTCCCCATCCTGAACCCCCCCTCCCACCTCCCTTCCCATCCCATCCCTCTGGGTCATCCAACTGCACCAGCCCCGAGCATTAGTCTCATGCATCCGACCTGGACTGGCAATCTGTTTCACACTTGATAATATACATGTTTCAATGCTATTCTCTCAGAACATCCCACCCTCGCCTTCTCCCATAGAGTCCAAAAGTCTCTTCTATACATCTGTGTCTCTTTTTCTGTCTTGCATATAGGGTTATCATTACCATCTTTCTAAATTCCATATATATGCATTAGTATACTGTAATGGTGTTTATCTTTCTGGCTTACTTCACTCTGTATAATGGGCTACAGTTTCATCCATCTCATTAGAACTGATTCAAATGAATTCTTTTTAATGGCTGAGTAATATTCCATGGTGTATATGTACCACAGCTTCCTCATCCATTTGTCTGCTGATGGGCATCTAGGTTGCTTCCATGTCCTGACTATTATAAACAGTGCTGCGATGAACACTGGGGTGCACATGTCTCTTTCAGATCTGGTTTCCTCAGTGTGTATGCCCAGCAGTGGGATTGCTGGGTCATATGGCAGTTCTATTTCCAGTTTTTTAAGGAATCTCCACACTGTCCTCCATAGTGGCTGTCTAGTTTGCATTCCTACCAACAGTGTAAGAGGGTTCCCTTTTCTCCACACCCTCTCCAGCATTTATTGCTTGTAGACTTTCGGATAGCAGCCATCCTGACTGGCGTGTAATGGTACCTCATTGTGGTTTTGATTTGCATTTCTCTGCTAATGAGTGATGTTGAGCATCTTTTCATGTGTTTGTTAGCCAACTGTATGTCTTCTTTGGAGAAATGTCTGTTTAGTTCTTTGGCCCATTTTTTGATTGGGTCATTTATTTTTCTGGAATTGAGCTTCAGGAGTTGCTTGTATATTTTTGAGATTAATCCTTTGTCTGTTGCTTCATTTGCTATTATTTTCTCCCATTCTGAAGGCTGTCTTTTCACCTTACTTATAGTTTCCTTTGTTGGGCAAAAGCTTTTAAGTTTCATTAGGTCCCATTTGTTTATTTTTGCTTTTATTTCCAATATTCTGGGAAGTGGGTCATAGAGGATCCTGCTGTGATTTATGTCGGAGAGTGTTTTGCCTATGTTCTCCTCTAGGAGTTTTCACTGGAGTATTTTGAAATTCATTTAGGGAAGAATGAAAATATCCCAGTATATGGGATGAGTCCTTCTAACCACTGGATAAAGTCTCTGAAACCTCTACTTCAGATAGTATGTGCGCTATTCCCCTCAATTTGTTCTTTTGCTCCCAACTCATAAAATGCACTAACATACAAAGGTAATGACTTCACTTAATAACATCCACGATATAATTACACAAATCTGTCCCTAAGTGAATAAGCCCTCTACAGATCATCCACAATGCTGTTGCCTTAACTTCAATGCCCTAGACCCCAGAAACCCACAACAAGAGAGGAGACAGAATGATCAAATCCATACGGTTTCCTTCACAGCATAGAGGGCATCTGATAATATGGTAATTAATTTTAAATATTTTAATACTAGCAAACTGGGAGTAGAATCAAGAAGCTTTCAGCCTCTAAACTGACATGACAGTTCTGAAGCCAAGTGAAAAAAAAAGTCATCAATATTTCCAGTCATGACATTCCAAGAACAGACATTTTAGTTACTGGTTTTGTTTTACACATAAAGAACTGGACACCTCAGGCCGCAGAAGTACTCCATCCTGCAAAACCAACCTCAACAGTAGAAAAGTACTTAGCGGCCAGGGAGCCATCTAAATGCAGCATGACAGAGAGGGAAAATGAAGCAAAACCTCTAAGCAGAGCTTTAGGCAGGGAAAAAAAGTAGTAGAAATTCAGCTGGGACAGAATGATCGCCACAGAGAGCACATGAGTCACAGACAGGACATATCAGAGGGCCACCTAAACATCACAACTTGCACACGTTCTGAGTGATGACAAGTGCTAGGTGATAAGGTACACGCAGTTGAAATCAACAAGCCCCTAGACTACATGGCATACAGATACTTATATGCACACTAATATGACAGATAGCCTATTAAAAATAACAAATAAGCAAGGTATGAATAATAAAATGCCACAGCCCCAAATGGCACATTTGCTTACAAAATTATCTGTCTCCCGAAATCTCCTAGAGCATAAACACTGAACAGAGCCAATATTAATTAATTTATATTATCTATTTCACTTGCATCAGCTGAAAATTAAAAGGCGATTCTAAAGAATAATATAATCAGCCATGAAGACGCATCTAATAATCACAAAAACCCGGTGAGGTCAGATAGAATTATTGGTGCTTTAAGGAAAAAGCCTTGTATAAAAATAATTTAGCTGAAACTCAACAAGTCTTCACACCACCATTAGAACAAAATACACATATTTCAAAACTGATAAACCCTAAATCACTCTTTTTTTAATTAATTTATTTTACTTTACAACCTTGTATTGGTTTTGCCATACATTGACTTGAATCCGCCATTTGCATGTACCTCTATTATTATAACATGTATTCAGTGTTTTAGAACACTTTAAAATTAGAAATACTTTATACCTTTCCCAATATTCTTATCTGATTTTTTATATTTACTTTTTTTTTCTTTTTCCTTTTTGCTGAGGACCTTATGACGTGAGAACTTCTTGAACCTGGTTTAGAAGACTTTAACCTATAGGACTGTGCTAAATGTTAAAAGACTTCAATGTCTTTTAACCAATTCTTTCTACTGAAATGTTACTGGTCCCAGTTGTTTCTTTTAGACACACACACATTACTAAATAGGCAAACAGATAAGACAGGGCAGACAGATAAGCATATATATCTACACCTCAGTGGATCTGTGGGATTGTGGAAGGTGGGTTTAACTAGGATACTATGGTGGTCACAAAGGAATTAACTAGATGCTATCTAAGGTCTTTTCAAGCTCTATCATTCCCTGCCATTAAACCATAGTTAACTCTAGGTATCTCTGGTTCTAAGGCCTACAGCTAATCATAAGAGCCCATTTAGTAACAGACAAGCAAGGTGAATAGTCCATTTATGCAGCTAAATATCTTATAAAAGAAAACTACTTTTCAGCTCATCAGTAAATATAGAAAGCGACCTAGACCAGTCCCTGGCTGCTTTATTTTTCTCAGAATGTTTGGTAAGAAGATAGGTAACACAGGCCAGGCCTATACGCATGTCATTAAACTGCAGAAGGTAAGGGCCCTGGTAATACACTTAAACCTTTTATTGAATATGCCATTTTATTTATCATTTATAGTTATACATGTCAAGTAAGACATAAGAGTTAATGGTAGTGTTTCCTATAGAAATTTCTATAGATGTCACTCCTTACACTACGCAGGGTCCATAAATTATGTAAAGTTCATATATATGATTTCAACCTGTAGAATT